TTCTTAGGTTTAAATATGATGACAAAAAGGAAAGAAAGGTGTATCATATTTTTATAACAAACTTTAACTTTAAATGAAATTAATTTTATGCAAAACTTCCAAGCTTTGGATTTCAATAAACAATTGGGAAAATTAATTATTTGGTCCTTATAGTTTTGATCCAATGTAATTCAGTCCCTCAACTTTAACTCGTTATAACTCAGTCTTTAAAGTTTTGACTTGATTGTAAATTAGTTTTTGAACTTTGCCTTTCAACCTCTTAAATATTGGTCTCTATATTTTAAAAAATAAAATTATAAGATTAAAAATATTTTAAACTTTCAATATTTATAATATTTATAAAGATTAAAAGGGTTTAATAATTTAAAATATTCGTAATAAATTTTAAAATATTTTGAATGTTTATAATTTTATTTTTTAAAGTAAAGGGATCAATATTTAAGAGGTTGAAACTTCAGGGATGAAATTGCAAGAGGCAAAAATTCAGGAATTAAATTACAACGAGTCAAAATTTCAGAAACAAAGTTATGACAAGTTAAAGTTCAGGGATTGAGTTATAACTAAGTCTAAACTATAAGGACTAAATGATTAATTTTCTCTAAACAATTAAAATGAATGTGGACACTTGATGGTGGGCTTTGGGGAACTCCTTTTCATTTTCCCTCTCAATTCTTCCTAGAATAAGTGAGTACACAGATATATATATATATATATATATATATTAAATTTTCCCTTTTGGAACCAATTGAAAACTCTTCACAAGAACTTGCTTTTACTGATTGACTTGCGAGTTTTGACTGTTCATGTTCTTGTATTTCTTAGGGAACATTTGGCAAGCGATTTTAGGGAAAATAGCTTTTTTGGTGTGCATATTTGTTATATGTCAACTCTAGAGGACCTCTTTCCTGCTCACTTCATTTCTTTGTGTGGGATGATTTAGTGTATTCAGACTTGAATCATTTTTACTTTCCTTTCTGGCGGTGGATTCATTTCAGTTTATTGCTTTCCCTCATGTATGAAACTCTGTAGTCTGTTTTGTGCAAGATATTTATGCTTTTATCTTCTTGGTTGGAGACATCTAATGTTGAAAACCTCTAATAATTTAGGTCCCTCAAATTTGCAATGACACAGGTGTGGGCCACATGTTTGATGCCTAATGCCTTATATTCTTTGCGCATAATTAGGATTTCTTCAGGATTCATGTTTTTAATATTTACTTATTGATATTATGTTGCATGTGGTGCTTGACAATCAGGTTTGGTACTGATTGATGGGTACTTGAGGGAAGGGGACTATTGAGTTGGTTGATCAACCTACTTAAATATCCTTTGGAGCATCCCATATTATACAATGTGGAACATAGGCATGCCGTGCTACCTTATTTCCTTTAATTAAGTGTCTCAGACTATCTTAGTCTACACCAGCTTCATCTTTTCTCCCATTCCTAGCCCACCCAGTCACTCACTGCTAGTGATTGCCCATAGAAAATGCAGTTTTGCTTGACTGAAGAGTGTGTTTGTTGTTTGTTAATGTATCTGTGCAATGAGGAGAGCCAAGGGAATCCAGAAGAGTGAAAAGTGTTAGCGATTTGGGACATTTTTTGGTGGCTAGGAATTGTGCTGGGTTGGGCTTACGGTTAAGTATTAGGCAAACTCATGAAATCGTGGAAGTTCAGGCAAGTTTGCTAGAATCAGATTTTGGCAATGCTCTGGCTGGTTTTCCATTTCCGTTGATGAGTGAACTGCAATTTGAACAGCAATGGCTCCGCATCTGCTTTATGCCCCTGCTACTTGACAGTCCATATATCTTTCATGTCTTGAATATTATTTTGTAAATTTTATGCTCGAATCTCCATTATACGTCACTCAAATGTTAACATCACTCGTATCAGAGTCTAAGAGTACATTTTGTGTCCTTTTCTTTTGTTGCTGTTCTCAAATTTTTTCACTTGCTTTTTGGCCTCCTCTAATTTTGGGCGTCTTCTGAAACAGGAAGATTAAGAAAGGCCGGCCTTTGAAGAGATCAAAAAATGTCCGAAAGATGAAAGCAATAGAAAAAGCTATATCTGCAAGTGAGAAGACCGCTCAGAAAATATCAAAGAACCAAAGTAAAAAATTAAGAGTTCAATCTGCCAAAGTGCTGTATGATTGAATAGCTGGATTGGTTGGCATCATTATTTGGAAAAGTTTCATTTGTTTTTGCGTTCAATCTGAATGTATTCATGCTGTATCAATATATAGTTTAATACTAATCTAAGGTTAAGTTTTGGGTATTGAAGTGCCATTTTATTGCATCATCTTATAATAATTTTTGGGGGAATGTTCCTTTTGTTTTATCGAATTTTGCATTTAATCCCTGTAATATAGGGATCGAAAGCATAGAAACTATAAGAGTTTGAGTAACAAACATTATTTAATCTTATTAAAAACATTGAAAAAAATTACTGGAATGAAATAGGGATCGATGATTTTTTTTCTCATAATTTTTATAGTGTTTGTTAAAGATATTTTGCTGTTACTGTACTCCTTTCTTCAAAATTGTAGAGGAAATCGACTCCGTTTTGGGAAATGTTTTTCAAATGAACGAGAATAAATGAACATTAGAAAAATGAAATAATTATATTTAAGATGTTATGAACGAGAGTTATAAGTAGATTTTACCCATTTATTGATTATTGAATGAGACTAATAATAATGTGGCGGAAAAAATTTAAGTGAAGAATTCAAAATTCAAATTAGTGATTAAAAAACTGAATCAGACTTGATGACTGTCGATTGATTTGAATTTTGGCTCGATTAACATGTAAAAATTATTTTGAGGGTTGAGTTAGGTTGGGTTATTTTGGACTAGCAGTTGGATCGAAAATCAAGATCAACTTGGAAATCAGACCCGATTTTAAAAAACAGGACTATTCAATTTTTTAAATTTTTTTATTAACTTTTTTTAAAAAATGACCAATTTATTTAATTATTGATATTATATTGTATCATGTGGCTAGTTAAGTCTTTATAAACTTAAAATATTTAGTTTTATTTTTAAGTTAAGTAGCAATTTCATATTTATTTCTTATATTTAGATTATTACATGCATATGTAATTTTTTTAATTTAATTATTATGTCACCGATTTGACTATTGATCTTAAACCATGTGAACCGTGAATTGCGAACCTTCTTAGTGTGTGTTTGGATTAAAAAGTTTATAACTAAGATTAGAATTCAACCGAGATTAGCAAATTGAGATTAAAAGAAAAGTTAGTTGATATAACATGATTTATGTTTGGATACTATTTTTTTAAAGTCAGTCAAATAAACTAAAATTCGTTTGGATGGTTTAATTCAAAAGCCAGTTGAGATGTTTAATGGCAAAAATAAGCATGAAATTTTTATCTCAAATAAGCATTTATATTTTTTTTACTAACTAATAAGTAAAAAAATATTAAACTTAAAATCACAACTAATAAGTAAAATAGCTTAATATTCACCCATGAAAATCTAAAATAAATTAATATTCAATTGATGTAATTTACAAGTTGATCTCTGATTGTATCACGAATGCGCTGCATCTATCTTAATGATTCGGGTAGATTTGACGAGGATGCTTCACCAATATTGGTATCTTTCTCCTGAACTTTTACACTTTCATCTTCAGCTTGTATGAACTGCTTGTCAGTAATTGAATTTCTCCTAATAAAATTATGTATTGCCATTGTTTGCACAGACAATTTAAACTTGTGTTTTATATTTAAATTTAGGCATTTTTCATATAATTGCAAACATATTCTTTCACACTCTAAAAGTTCTTTCTATAGTGCATCTCAGACTTGAATGATAATAATTAAAGACCTCATTATTGTTTGCAAATCCTGCAACTCACCTAAAGTTTGGAAGGTGATAACGTTCGCAATGATATGGATTAAGATACCCATTTAGTGTTGGATAACCAGAATCAACTAAATAATATTTACCTATTAAATGAAAGGAAGTGATGTAAATTTGACCAACATTAAATCAATGTAATAATAATTATAGTAACTTTAATAAAATATACTTGGAGGTGGGTGTGAAAAATGCATTAAAGGAGTTGATATGGCATTATCAAATACTCAAGCATTATGAGCCGTACCTTCCCATCCCGCAATGACAAAAGTAAAACACATGTCCCAATCACATACAGCCATAACATTTTGTGTTGCATATCCCTTTCTTCCAATAAATTTGGTTTAAATCAGCAACACTAATCATGCATGGCACATAAGTGCCATCAATTGCTCCTATAGCATCCTTAAAGAATGGCCAATGCCGTGGATCATTTTGAATTTTTGAATGACATTGTTGAAACAAAGGATCAAGTGGCTTTATGTTGTCTTAGAAAGGTTAAGGCAGGCAGATAATACTTTATGAAAATTTCTATGGATAGTTTTTCCTGAATGCTGAAATCGTTCTTATATCCATATTACCAACTCCATGTCCAACTGTATTAAAAACATTCCAACCATTTTTTTCACTCCTATTTTTTAGACTTCTTTAGACCAAGATCAACTAGTGTCACACACAGTTGCCTAAACAAATGTTTTTCTATTTGAAACATTTTATAACAACGATCAGGATGACCTTGCAAAATCTCATTAACCCATATTTGTCTTGTTTGCATGCTAGTTCTCCGTGGCTTTTTACACACATATGGCATCACATATTCGCTAACTAATTGACATATTTCTTCTTGCTCCGTTATATCTTGCTGTAACAAGGGAAGTAGTTTATGAGCCATATCTACATCCCAACCTTCATTCCAACCTAACATATATTCATTCAATTCTTCCACAATTTTAAAACCTGAAGTAAAATAGTATGTAAATATCATTCGTTATATCTTGCTGTAACAAGTCATCATTAGCCTAGATAAAAATTCATCCAGATGTATGTTTTGAAATAAAATATGGTAGATGGTAGGCTTGGTGCTTCAACCAATTAACTAAGTAATCACGATGATCTTTAAGTTGCTAGTAAGCATCTTGTATAGGCTTGTACAGAACAAGATTGACACATTTTCGATACAAATCTTTATCATCAAAAACTTCTGGGAGTCCATTTAGGTGAGCCACAACCTCAGAAACTCCTATGTCATTTGCCAAAATCTTGTTCACTGTCTCTGTTCTAGCTCTATTATCCTTAGCCATTTCACTCATTGCATCTATTATTTTCATTGAGGCAAGGATTTTTTGCTTTTTCCTCCCACCAACGCCTACCACTCTCTTTCTCTTGCTTGGACTTCCGTCACCACTAGTTCTACCGGTATTTATGGTGACATTCAAGCCCAACAACTCATCGGTGACCCCCGTAGGTGCTGTGATGTCAGATAAATTTAGCTCCTCTTCACTATTACTTAAGCCTTCCCAAAGGTCAGTAGTAGGGCAGTACACATCCTCATCATCATCATCATCCTCTATTTGGGTCTGGGAAACAGATGGTATAAAAAATGTCTCCCCAGTTGCCAGGACATCCTTGAATATCAAAGTTAATTTCCTTACAAATCTCAGACTTTTATATCTAAATTTTTCATAAAGAGGATTTTTCTACAACCATTCAAATAGCCAATAATTAAAATTCTCAAATTAAATTCTAATCTTAAAAACACTTAACAACTAATCTATACCAATATTTTTTGCTCCCACCACTCATCTGGAGTATCAACAGTATTCTTGTCACTGTCCCACTTTAAGCCGGTTTCACTTGAAAACAACTTATGCCATACGTTTCATTCTTTTCTTATGTTATCTAGCTTATTTTTTAATTGCTTTTGCTCATACTTTTTTCCTATTTTTGCCTCAAACCCCTCAATTATTGCCTGCCACCTATTTTTGTTGAAAGCAGTTCCTTTCCTTTATTTCTTGTACACTTGTTCCAAGCATTCTTTAATGAAAATTTTTGTCAAAGTTAAATTCCACACAACTTTCCTTTGTTGCTATTCATTGTTGTATAGACTAGCCAACACATTATAAACATGCAAAATTAATATATATCTCTACATATATGTATCACAATTTACCAAAAGACTCCTATTTTCAGTTTGGCATTTTTCAAATTCATGAAGCCTTTTTATCAATAAATTCCTTAGAAGAGAGCTAAATGCCATATTTTTAAATGTATCAATCAAGTCAATGACATTAAACTGATAACTCCCCTAAAATAAATATCAATTAAAGGTTGAGGTTAGATATAACGTGCCAGCATTGAATTACCACCCCATACCATTCTTCACTACCCAAGTCATGGATTTTCCATATTCCTCTCCCTTGCCACAAAAAGAAAAATTATCTTACTCTCCTACAGCATGTTTTTCTATCTCCCAACAAACGGCATAGCAGTGTTCTATCTAGGATACAATGGAGTTGAATATTATATCTACCCATAATTTTCATCCATTTTCTTTACTTTTGATTATCCAGGCCACAAACAGAATTACCCGCATTCAACTTTAGTGCAAGGAAGCCCAGAAACGACCACCGACAATCATTTCTAGAAATAAAGAAACATCATTTCTCATTGCACACATCAGTTCAGCCGATCTAATATCATTTCTCATTGCAGGGGATTGAAAAAAATTGCCGATCTCGAGTTCCAGAAATAGCCATCGAGGATCATCACTAACCATTCAAGTCAAGGAAGAAAAAAATGAGGCAAAGAAGGAATAATAGAACACGACAGGAAGGAAGGAGATGAACAGAACAACCTTGCTTGGCAAAGACAGGTGATGGGGAGTAGATCTGGTGATGGGAAGTGCAAATCTGATGGACACGGTGGAGATCGAGATGCTATAGGGAGAAGAACCACTTTGGAGCTCTAACACGGTAGAAGTTAGAATGAATGATGGAGAGCTGGAGATTGGTCAGAGGTGCTTCAACACAGTAGAGATGAGCTACTGGACGACATCGCTTGACTAACGAAAGGAAGAAGAAGCAGATCTATGAGTGAGCGTTCTGAAAGCACAGAGATGTGAGTCTTGAAGATAAGCTGCGCGTCGCCTGAATAACAGAAGGAAGAAGAAGCAGATGCGAGCGACCATTCTGAAAGCATAAAGATGTGAAGGAAGAAGCTGTTTGTCGAGAGTTTTGAAAGGAAGAAGCAAATATGTGAAGTAGCTTCCAAGGTGTATAGCTAATGTTTTGAAGGAAGAAGTAGATCTATGGGGTTTGAAGCAGCTTCGGAGGTCACGGCACCATGCACAAAGGAAAGGAAAGGCACAGCTGGTAGATAAAAAGCAAGAGAGAGAAATCAACAAAATTTAAAATGTATTTAATGCTTCCAATGGGTATTAAGGCTTATGCTTGGGAGAAAAAAGCCAGATGGGTGAGCTTCAGCATTAATATGTTCACTTGCCAACTGAGGTTAAAAAATCATGTGAATCCAAATAAAACTTTTTTAACATTTTATATCCTAACAGCAGTTAAACACATTCTAATTGAGATTTGCCTCTACTCTAAACATGCTCCTAATTTAATATTCGATTCGTTTTTAAAAACATTGATTCAAATACAAATAGTAGCAATTTTCAAGTTGAATGATACTAGTGTTTGGATCAATCAATTTGAATTTGAAGTTTAAATTTGAAATCTTACATTTTAAACCTATATATTTAAAATTGTTTATTTGGATAGCCAAAAGAGATTCAAATGAAAAAGAGAGATGAGTTGAGACATGAGAAAAAAAAAAAAAATTATAAATGGTCGAGTTATCTTCATTTTTTTTATCAACAAGAAATGTGAAAAAAAAAGAGATTCATAAAAGTATTAATATAGTAAAACCATGAAGAGAGTGAAATGTTTAAAGTGACTAGAATTTTAAATGATTATATATACAAGGAATTTGAAATCACAAAGAAATTATAATAAAAAATAAATTTAGTTTTAAATTAAATTTAAATTCACAATTTTTATCTATCCAAATAAAAAATTTGGTCTAGAACTAAATTTAAATTTAAATTCATATCCATTCAAAGGCACCTTAATATTCTATCACATGCAATGAAGCCACGAAATTAAAAAAATATTATTGTATGAGTTTTATATTATTTTAATTTTAATAATTTGATATATTTGATTTTTTTTTTTTGCAATAGATTTGTTCATTTTAATTTTTTGAGTGATGATTCTCGAACTAATAATTAAAAAATCTTAGCTGAATGTCGGAATCTTTAGTTCTTTTTATGTTATTTTAGAAACGTTTAGTCCAAAACTTACAAAATGCAGGTTTTAAAATTATTTTCATTAATTAAAAAAGATTGTAAATTTTATAAAATTATTTTTTAATATTTAAAATTTTCAGGATAATATTTTTCCTGTGATAACACGCTATCGCGAAAGCGCCAGTGCGCATGTCGTTTAGAAGCTTGCTCGCCGATATTGCCGAGCGTGAAGTTGCGGCCCGCACGGTATTCTATCTTCTGTCCCCCAATTCGTTACGTAATTAAATATCTAGCGGCATCATCTGACGTGCGCTTCGAGGAACCGCTGGTATAAATCAAAGCACTTCACTCTACTTACAACCATACCGAAATTGACGTCTCTCTTCACAGTCCCCGTTTGGTCGCTGAGTAACGCGAGGGGAAGTCGGAGGGAGTGGGAGTGAAAATGTAAGAATTATTTTTGAAGCGTGTAATCATACCGTATTTACTCCACAGCACTGAGCTTGAATTAGCTCCGAATTTTCGATTTTGCCAAAGATAGAGTTTTGTTATGGGCAATGAAATATTTTAGTTTTCCTTTAGCTACGCTGTTTGTTCTGCGAGTTTGAAATTTATGCTGTCGGAAAGGCTTGCCTTTTGTTTTATCAATCTTGAATTTTATTGATGTTTAATGCAGATGAGTTTCAGCATAAGCTACTGTGGAAGTCATGGTCTTCCAACTTTTAGAATATCTAGCTGCAATATTGACCGACATAGCCGTCACGGTAAGTATATCAAGTTCTTTGGTTTCATTTTGCGCTTCCGTTTTGATAGTAACCTTTGCGTAGGCTATCTGTGTCTACGTAGCATTCAGCATAATTCGTAGTTCTTCTCTTCAGCTAGTTTAGTTCATGTCAATCTTCGGTTTGTTCTCAATGTCTTAGAAAGGCCTACAAATTTCAGCTGGTGACATGGCCTGCCATACATATAATCAGTGTGATAGTTATTTTAATAATAAGTTCTATGCATACCTTTGCTCTTGATGGAGATTGGAGAAAAAAGAAATGTAGATGTCAGATCACACGTGCGTCATTTATTTATTATCAGGTTCAGGGATACAAAATATATGCTTAGTATGACATTTTTAAATGCAAATAATATCTTCTATTTGCTTCCTGAATGACTTCTAAGACACTACCCTCCCATTCATTCATTCTAGGAAAATCTGTTCTTCCCAGTAACACGCAGAAGAAACTTTCCAAGCCTGAGAATCTTTCCATCAAGTTTTAAGTTTGATAGCACCAGCTTAATGGCCGTGATAGGATCTGTGACAGGTAAGGCTTTGATTTTTTGGCGGGTGTGATTGTGGAGTGGTGTTATCAATTGGTGTTGTTTGATTGTGATGGCAAACAATTTTTTATTTCCATGCTTTTCAGTGGCCAATTTAATTGCACCGGTTGCTGCAAAGGCTGTAAGTATGAATAAATCTGTTCAAGAGAATGCATGCATGCATGCATATAAAAAATTGCAGAAACATTTTAAAAGACTGTTAAACATCCATTCTACTATCTATATTACAAAATAGACAAGTAAATTTTGCATAGTACATGACCAAACATGAAATTGGAGGAACTGCATCAGTTTTTCCCCCTCCTGGTTCCCTTTTGTGGGTATGGGTAAATCATTCACAATGAACCTTTAAGAATAGCTGCAATAGTTCAAATTTTCCTGTTATAAATTTAAAGCTGCTATTTGCATTAAATGTAAGTCTATTTTTGTTCTTTATAAACTTTACTAAGAAACTGGTCTGTCATTCTACATTCAAGTCATAGACATTATATACATCTCAGGAATCGTATTTATTTTCTTTCAAGTCAGGAAGTGGTTGATTCTGTTTATGCTTTGGCTGATGGAAGCTTGGGCGATTGGTTTGGAGGCTTGCTATATTCAGCTGGACAGCAGGCTAATGCAGCTGTTCTAGACCAACTAGCTTCTCTCAACTTCACCAGGTACTCCACAATGTATCCTATGCATCTTTATTGTCTATTCCCCCCCTGAAGATCTTATGCTTATGCTTATGGTTTCTTCTTTGCTGCTTATTCATATTCACAGTTAGCAGTAATTTATGGGGCAGGGCTTGTTACCAGCCTTTCCCTGTACACTAAGTGTCTTACCACTAACTCTTGGTTACATTGGTGAGTTTGCTTCTATTATGCACTTGAAATACTAATTATTTTCAAATGCCTAAATTTGTGAGTTGTAATCTGGCAGGGGCGTTTGGGTCTGGCAAAAGCAGGGCAGAGGTAATTATCTTAGGTAGTTTGTTTCTGCATAAAAAAAATTCATTCTTTTGTTCTTCTTATCTCA